TGCACTTGCTGGAGCTTTTGTGACTTGGCCTAAATTTCTAGCATACATCTCAACTGTACCACTATTTCCCGGGTTGTTGTATGGATTAAATGAGCTTGCATACCAAAGGAATGTCCTAAAAAGCTAGAGGCATGTGTCCCTTAGGAGGCACTGTGGCAGAGACATCAACAGGGTATTTGCCAGAGAAGGCCCAAGGCATGGTTTGGACATTGTTTCTGGCTATGCAGGTTCCACACCTGACTATGGCCTTCCCAAAGATTATTTGGGTTACTCTACTATTATTTTTTATTTTATATTATTTTTGAGTTGAAGTCTCACTCTTGTCACCCACGCTGGAGTGCAGTAGCACACTCATGGCCACCGCAGTCTTTACCCGCTGGGCTTAAGTGATCCTTCTGCTTCAGCCTTCCAAGTAGCTGGAACTACAGACACACACCACCACACCTGGCTAGTATTTGTGATTTATTGTAGAGAAGAGGTCTCAGCAAGTTGTCCAGGCTGGTCTCAAACCCTTGGGCTCAGGCAATCTTGCCTCGGCCTCCCAAAGTGCTGAGATGACAGGCTGAGCCACCGCACCTGGCCTCTACTATTCTTTTATAAAGTTTGAAGTAGCTTTCATAGGCTTAGCCACTGAATACCCTTACAAACTTTATCGTTTTTGCAATCTATTGTAAGACTGCTGAAAATGTCAAAATCCAAATCTGATTGCTACCTTACCCATACTTACACAAAATGAGCGTTAACCCACACTATTTAGCCGAATTTAACAAGTTTTTAATTTTTATTTTAAAAAAAAGGTCAAAACAATTCTAGCACTGCTATTTTAAATAGATCTAAAACACAAATTTGGACCCCTAAAACTAACCTTGCTAATACGTCTACAATAATGAAATCGGCTATCTGAGGTGGGAAACGTTCGAAGGACATATGCTGAGTTCTCAATTTCAGGGTCAGAAAATTAGTAAGTCCAGTCCCTTTTCTCAGTCTTCTCCCAACAGAGATGTACAAAGAGGTCCAGAGCCTGCTTAGCAAGGTAGGAAGGCTACTTAATTTTTTGACTGGGATGGGTTTTAGCCACTCAGAGGCACAGCTTGTTTCTTAGGGGTTGGGCTCCTGCTAGTAAGACACTTAGTTCATTTAGGAACTTCCCTTTCTTTAAAGGCTGAGAAAACATCTTAGTTACTAAATGATTGCAAAGATAACTTTCCAAATTTAAGCTGTACTCAAAAATCCATAAAAGCTGCAGAACTCTTAAGTTTTCATATTTAAATAGAAATGTGTTGAGACATACAGTCATTTCTTGCTTTCAATATATTTTATTCTGATGAAGTTACAAAAGTAGATACAAAATACTTTTTTAAAAAGTACAGTTAACTGACTTAGAAAAATAGATAAAGCCCCTAAAGGTTTAAAAATACAACATAAAAATTTTTATGTAAAGAACATTTTTAAATATTTTAGATGATAACCAAGACTAACTTATGCAAATTATTTTTTATGTAGCCCAAACACAGAATGTTGTTCTATAATAATAAGTCTATAGCACACTGGTAATCCATCTGGATTTACAGAATACTCGTTTGGAACAGAATGTAAGATGAGAGAAGCCCCAAGTGAATTTCAATGCAGTTGCTTCAGTAAAATTGCTGCTACCACATGAACTATCATCCCTCAAAATCTCTTGCAGTCTGAAATATCAAAAATGAATGCAAAAACAGGATGGCCAAAGGACTGTTTTCCCTCTTTGCCAGCATTCTACATTAGTAAAAACCAAAGCCACTTAGTGAGCTGACCTCAGGAGCAAACAATGTGCCTGATGACGATACTCAGTGTTTGGCATCCAGATCGGCATTTTTCAGGCCCGGGTTTCACAGTAACGGGAGACAGCCTCCTATAACAAGGCAGCGGTAACACCAGCATCATGACTGGGGCTACTCAGATCCAAATTTCTAGAACTTCCACTATATGTGCCTGATTTGTGAATGCTTGTGAGGTAATGATGTTATGTTTAAGAAGCTCTACTTCTAGTACAATCTCACTGCTCAGAGAGAAGGCAAACAAATGTTTGCAAAATTAATATCACCACCAGAATTGCTCCTCTCATCTCTGCACTACTAGAAAAACTCTGCCTTGCCATCAAAGTCATGGCAAATACAGATTTACATTTCTGCCAAAAGCAAGTGCATGAGCTAGGGCTCTACAAGTCTAAGATGAAAGGAAATACTCTGCTGGAAGCCCTGTAAGATTATTTTATTCACAATCAAAAGAATAAAACATACACTTAACTGTCAATACAAAAATTATAGAACAAGAAAGCTGGAGCATTTAAAAACCTACACATTATCCAAGTTTTATTATTATTATTATTTTTTTTTTTGAGTTGGAGTCTCACTCTGTCGCCCAGACTGGAGTGCTGTGGCCGCTCCCGGCCACCGCAATCTCGACCTGATGGGCTCCAGTGATCCTTCCACCTCAGCCTTCCAAGTAGCTAGAACTACAGGCGCGCGCTACCACGCCTGGCTAATTTTTTGATTTATTGTAGAGATGAGGTCTCACCAAGTTGCCCAGGCAGGTCTCGAACCCGCAGGTTCAGGCAATCCACTCACCTCAGCCTCCCAAGGCGCGGGATTACAGGCTGAGCCACCAAGCCCAGCTCTATCCAAGTTTTTAAAAGGCCTGAAAATTAAAGCACCATAGGATTAACTGCATAATTTAGCAAGCCCCCTCCACCCTGATTGTATCATTTATGAGGAGCAGAGATCACACACTGAGAGGAGATAACTTCTGATTAGAAGGGGGATGGGGAGGGAGTGTTGAATGGTAACCCCTGGGTATGGGGAGATAACAGTGAGAGGAGTCAGAGGCTGATTTCTTGAAACCATTACTTATTTCTCCCAAGGCAGGAAGGCACCATCCTCTTTCCGTTTTCTCCCCTTCCTCCAATTCTTCTGCCCTTGACTTCCTGGCCTTCGCAGTGAACAACATTAATGTTTAGGTACATCGTTGGTTAAGCTAGATTGGCCTGAGAATATGGTAATGTTTTTAATTTTATTTTTTAAACGACATTCTGTGTCTTAAAATACCCACAATTTTTCTTTTCTGTCCCATTTATAAGCTGCCTTTACTCCTGTCCTGGCATATGATCATCTTTGGTTCCTTTGGGAGCTTAGTTATAAAGAGAGGGAAGAGTTCCATCACTGAAAACAACTGGAAAAAAAGTGAGAACTCTAATCTGAGTCTATTTAGAATATTAGAAATGATGATGAAGTACAACCCTAGTTGAGAGAAACAATTTCAACCCTTCTGGACTTAAAAAATTAAAGCCAGCAGGGTTTAAGATTGAGAGGCAGTGACATTCCAGGTGGCATCTAGAAAACTGCTTTCTGATTTGCAAATGATCACCATACACACAGAAAGGCTGACATGTGGACCTTTGGATAAGCCTTCAATGTGGACTTAGGAATATTTCAGAGAGGGCTTTTTTTTTTTTAAATAAGTGACTATCCCACTCTTTAATTCCTCAGTGATGTATGGTTTTTGCCTAAATTAGATGAATTTTTTTTCTTTCCTTTAAAATTCTGTATATATTTAAGAATTACTGAAACTGATTAATTAAAAATGGAGTTTCTTTTTTTTTTTTTTTTTTTTTGAGTTGGAATCTCACTCTGTCGCCCAGATTGGAGTGGCTGCTCCTGGCCACAGCAGCCGGGCTCTGGCGGTTCTTCCGCCTCAATCTTCCAAGTAGCCTGAATTACAGGCATGCGCTACCACGCCCGGCTGATTTTTTGATCTGTTGTAGAGATGAGGTCTCGCCAAGTTGCCCAGGTGGGTCTCAAACCCGCGGGCTCGGGCAATCCACTCACCTCAGCCTCCCAAAGGCGCGGGATTACAGGCTGAGCCACCGAGCCCGGCAAAAAAATGGAGTTTCTAAGTCATTCTTTTCTTATAATCCAAAGGAGTAAAAAACAACAACAACAACAACAACAACAAAAAACCTTATCAAATCTAACCTTTATCAAAGGAGGCTGGTAAGTACTTTTCAAAAATCACAACTCTGAAACACAGAATGCTGAAGAATGTAAAGCATTGCCAGTCCAGCACTTGCTCCTTCCAGTATACTCATTGTGCCTCAGTACATTTTAAAGAGCCAGTTTACTACATCCTAGGAAACAAATGAAAAATAGGTGCTTCTTCACTAACAGGGAGGATTCTCCATATCCCAAAAGAAATAGAAGTTTCGAGTTCTGATACAAAAACAACTAAAACAGGATAAAACCCTAATGGGAACTCAATTTGTCCTTGGAATATTAACAGAATAAAGTTTTTTTTTTTACACTTATCTCTCCCATTTCGTCTTTAAACACATTTTTGTCTTTAGCTTGTGCACGCGCATGCACTCTCTCTCTCTCTCAAGAATAGGCAGCACACCATATCCTCAGCTGTGTTATAAAATGTGTGCAAGGTTTTTTTAATCCTGGTTTTCCTTAAGTTTTATCCTTGTTGGGATAAAGTTTGTGCATTTCGACACTACTCACTCTTAACTAAGGCTCAAGTCACTTTAATAAAAACATAGAAGTAATTTTTTAATAGAAGGAAACAAAATAACAGTACTCTGAGTACTTTCTTCCATTCTCTTATCCAGAATTTCAAGGCTTCTGAAAAATAATGTGAATGAAAATAGTGGCTTTGAGATTTAAGTCTGTCATAATTTTTTGAAGTTTTCTTTTTCTCAGCCAAAAGCTACATATTAATTTGAATGAAACTTTTCAAAATAAAAACCTGTAAAATCATCTTTAGAAGCCAAAAAAAATTATTTCTGATACACACACACACACACACACACACACACACACACACACACACACACCCCCCTAATAATTTAGATAGATATGAATAAAATCACAAGATCAAAAAATAAAGTCACTGAAAAATAACTCTGGTAACTCCAATTCTGCATATGCCATGATGATTTAAACTGAAATCATGGATTTTGAAAAAATATACATATATCTTATCTTTAAAAACACTAGCATACAAACTTGAAACTAAAAGATTATCCAAAGTGACACAAATGTTCTAAATCTTAAGGAAACTTAAAAATACCTTTTCTATTCATAAAAAAAGAATAACCGATTTGATTGTATTATTAGGAAATTTGTTCTGGAAACTTGTTAATAAATTATTGGTGGAAACTCTTAGTATCCACTATGTTGTCACCTGAAACAGGCTCAATTATTTTCTTGAGTAAAAGAATAATACGTAAACGTGTAAACTACAGGTTAGTCATCACATATTACAAAGAAGTATGACTGTGACAACAGCAGGAGTGGCCACACAGTACTTATGATTTGGCTGCATCCTTAAGCTATTGCGCCACCCTGCCTTTGGGATGATTTTGTCAATAGACACAGACAATGGGTTTCTTTTTATCCTGTTTTCTTAAAGTTTGTATCACTAGTCTATAACAGATAGCAATGAAATAATAACTCTAGCAGTAGATAAAGTAAGAAAGTAACTGTTCTAGAAGAAACATTTATCTGTCCTTCGATCCAAGTTTCTCAATCAACTCCTGAAGAGGTGCCAACTCACGCCTATCAATCAGATTAAACTCCTAAAAAGAGAAGAAGAAAAACAAAATTTTAAAATGGATCTAAAACTAAAACTCTTTAAATGTCTTTTAGAGAAGGAATTCCCAACCCCAGTTGTATGAAATCCAGAAGAATGAAATCATTTCTGTGACTATTTTAAAATAGGAATTTTTTTTTTTTTTTTGAGTTGGAGTCTCACTCTGTTGCCCAGGCCAGAGTACAGTGGCACACTCCCGGTCAGCGTAGCCTCAACCTGCTGGGCTCAGGCGATCCTTCCATCTCGGCCTTCCAAATAGCTGGAACTACAGGCACACACTACCACACCCAGCTAATTTTTTTATTTGCTGTAGAGACAGGTCTCACCATGTTACCCAGGCTGGTTTCGAACCTGTGGACTCGCGATCCTCTCACCTCGGCCTCCCAAAGTGGTAGGATTATAGGCTTGAACCATTGCACCTGGTCAATAGGATTGTTTTTAGTTTTTACTCTCACTTAAAAAATACTGGCTGGGCACGGTGACTCAGCCTATAATCCCAGCACTTTGGGAGACCAAGGCGAGAGGATTGCCTGAGCCCAGGGGTTCGAGACCAGCCTAGGCAAGTTGGTGAGACCTTGTTTCTACAATAAATCACAAAAACCAGCCGGGTGTGGTAGCATGTGTCTATAGTTCCAGCTACTTAGAAGGTTAAGGTGGGAGGATTGCCTTAGCCCAGCAGTTTGAGGCTGTGGGTGGCTGTGACCGACAAGAGTGAGACTTCAACTCAAAAAAAAAAAAAAATTGGTGTGCGCCTTGGTCTCTCAAAGTGCTGCGATGACAGGCATGTGTCACCATGCCCGGCCATTATATATATAATTTCGATTTTAATGTTTAACACAGTGAGGATCATACTAATACCTTGAGTTCTTATTTAACAGGTCCCCTATTGTAAGGCTATAGGAAAAAACAAAGTCAGTTTCTCCTACTACACTCTCACAACTCAGAATGTTTTTGTGATCAAAAGCGTGGGCATTTTCCTACAAGCAAGCAATCATTTCTCCAGTGGACACCAGATGGGTATCCTCCAATTAAATTCACTTCTGATACTTTCTACCTGGAGGTAGTGTCAGATGCCACAAGACTGCCCCCCACTTCAGACAACAGTCTAAAGTAACAGCTTGTTACTATACTTCTGCCTATAAATCCCCCCTCCATTAATTTGCTAGACAGAATTCAGAAAAACAAGCTTACTGGGTTATTATGAGGGATATTACAAAAGATACTGATGAACAGAGACACACAGGGTCAGATATGGGGGAAGGGTCACTAAGCATCCATGCCCTCTCTAGGCATGCCATCCTCCGGGAACCTCCACATGTTCTGCTCTCTGGTAGCTCTTCAAACCCTGTCCTTTTGGGTTTTTTGGAGGCCTCATTACTTGGCTGTGATTAATTATATCATTGGTCATTGATGTAATCAACCTTCAGTCCCTGTCCATCCCCTCTTCAGAGACTGGGAGGTGGGCAGACATAAAAAAGAATGAAATCATGTCCTTTGCAGCAACATGGATGGAGCTGAGCTGGAGATTATCATCCTAAGTGAACTGACTTGGAAACACAAAACCAAATACCACATGTTGGCATTCATATGTGGGAGCTAAACGGTCACAAAGATGAAAATAATAGACACTGGGGACACCAATAAGGAAGAAGGGAGCAAAGGATTGGGGCTCAGAAACTACCTACAGGGCACAATGTTCACTATCTGCGGACCCAATCCCCCCACTACACAATACATCCCTGTAGTGAACATGCTTGTATACCCCTGAATCTGAAAAACAAAAAGAGAGAGAGAGAGATTGGAGATTGGGGTTGAAGACCAATCATTAACATACAAAAGACATTCATCACTCTGGAGATGCCAAGGATTTTAGCAACTATATATCAGGAAACAGGGAGGGAGACCAAATACATATCTCACAATAGCACACCAATTTTTTTTTTTTTTTTTTTTGCATCAGGGCCTCAATCTGTCGCCCAGGCTGGAGTGTAGTGGCACGATCACGGCTCCTCACAGCCTCAAACTCTTGGTCTCAAGTGATCCTTTTGTCTCAGATTCCCGAGTAGCTGGGACTATGAGTGCACATGACCATGCCTGGCTTTTTTTTTTCTTTTTGTAGAGATGAGGTCTCGCTAGGTTTCCCAGGCTGATCTTGAACTCCTGGGCTCAAGCAGTCCTCCCACCTCAGTCTCTCAAAGTGCTGGAATGATAGGTGTGATCCACCATGCCTGGTCCTAAACAGCTATATTTATATTTTGCACACAGAGTTATATATCTCTAATTATTATGATTTTAACAGGTTCCAATTCTAACTAAGGGGCTCAAAACCACAGGCCACATCACTAAATGATATACCCTAATCAGAGCCCTGGGCTAAAGCCCAAGGCAGAAGGTCTAAAAGAGGGTGATACCATGCCAGGTGCGGTGGCTCAAACCTGTAATCCCAGCACTTTGGAAAGCCAAGGCAAGAGGATTGCCTGAGTCCAGGGGTTCGAGACCAGCCTGGGCAACTTGGCAAGCCCCTGTCTCTACAATAAATCAAAAAATTAGCCAGGTGTGGTGACATGCATCTGTAGTTCCAGTTACTTGGAAGGCTGAGGTGGAAAGACAGCCTGAGCTCAGCTGGTCGAGGCTGAAGTGGCTGTGAGCATGCCACTGCACTCTAGCCTACATGACAGAGACTCCAACTCAAAAAAAAAAAAGAGGGTGATACCTTTTAAAACTGCACATAGGAATGAAATAAAATGGAAAAGAGAGTTTGCTTGTACTTAACTCTATAAGTAAGAAACACTGCTCTTTATTAAAGTTATCAATCCAAACAAGTCCAAGTCAAAGGACAGATATCAACATGGTTCAACTTACCTGAACAAAGAAGATAAAGTGCTTAAAGGAGGTGTTGAGGTGGGCCTCCTCTTGCAGCTGCATCACAGAATCAAAGTGCTGGTGATAAATGTGGGCATACACCCTGAACAGACGCTTCAGAATGGTCTTTGCCACAGACATAAAGTTTTTGGGAAATGGGACACCTATAATCAAATATACATATGTAACAATTAGTTTTTTTTGCTTTTTTTCCCTTTTAAATAGGAGTCTCTGTTGCCCAGGCTGGAGTACAGTGGCATGCTCATGGCTACTGCATCCTCAACCTGCTAGGTTCAGGCTATTCTTCTGCCTCAGCCTTCCAAGTAGCAGAACCACAGGCACGCGCCACCATGCCCAGCTAATTTTTTTGATTTATTGAGACGAAGTCTCACCATATTGCCCAGGCTGGTCTCGAACCTGTGGGATCAGGCAATCCTCTCGCCTCCACTTCTCAAAGAGCTGGGATTACAGGTATGAACCATCATGTTTGGCCTAACAATTAGTCTTTTATCTAATTTAACAGTACAAAGTTTAGTGTTGTAGTCAACACATAAACATACAAATTCACAAATACACAAATACACAAACCTATTTCTGTGAGTATGGGGGGGGGAATCTAAACCTAAATATGTTTTCACATACCAAACTTTTTCTGACTGCCTTAAAACAGTAGGCACAGGCATCAAATTATATAAGATGCTGCTGAATCAAAGTGCAAATAAACATAATTTTAGTTGTTAAATATTAGAGTTTCTTCCTGAAATTAAAATGCAGCCAGGCACGCTGGCTCATGCCTATAATCCCAGCACTTTAGAAGGCTGAGGTGAGAGTATTGCTTGAGCCCAGGAGTTTGAGATCAACCTGCCTAACGTAGTGAGTGAGACCTCATCTCTACAAAAAAGTTTTAAAAAGTAGTGGGGTGTGGTGGCTCATGCCTATAGTTCCAACTACTCGAGAGGTTAAGGCAGAAGGACTTTTCAAACATTATCCTGGGGCTTATGGGTATGACTTTCGGGGCAGGATCTTGTATTCATGTATTGAAAAGGTAGACTTAAGCTGGGCACAGTGGCTCACGCCTGTAATACCAACACTTTGGGAGGCAGAGGTGAGAGGACTCCCTGAGTCCAGGGTTCAAGACCAGCTTGGGCAATTTGGGCAAGACCTCATCTCTACAATAAATCAAAAAATTAGCTGAGTGTGGTGGCACACACCTGTGGTTCCAGTTACTTGGAAGGCTGAGTTGGAAGGACTGCCTGAGCCCAGCAGGTTGAGGCTGTGGAAGTCATGAACGTTCTACTGCACTCTAGCCTGGGTGACAGAGTGAAACTCTAACTCAAAAAAGGTAGATTTAAAAATCAAACAACAGCTGGGTTGTAATCCCATCCTTTGGGAGGGCGAGGCAGGAGAATTGCTTGAGGCCAGGAGTTCGAGACAAGCCTAGGTAACATAGCGAGACATTATCATCAGAAAAAAATAAAAATAAAAAATAAATAAAAATAAAAAAATTAGTTGAGTGATGTGGCACAGGCCTGTAGTCCCAGCTACTTGGGAAGCTGACATGGAAGGATCACCTGAGTCCAGGAGTTTGAGGCACAGTGAGCTATATTTATGCCACTGCACTCCAGCCAAAGTAACAGAGCGAAACCCTAACTCAAAAAAACAAAACAAACAAAAACCCCAGAAACCAAAAAACCAAAAAACACCCTTTTCTTTCTGAATGTGTAAATGGGTATCTTGTTAATAAAAGAAACTAGCTTGGATATATCAGTAAAAAAAAATTAATAATAGTTCTAATAAAAATAAATAACTGGCAAAAGCAAGATATAGATAATAACCTAATGGGGTGAGGAGTGGATTCCAGAACATCAGAATGAATTACTGAAGAATGGAAAACTCAGAAAAGACAATAAAGTCAAAAGAATTTTTTATCTTCCATAAGAGGAAAACTTAATGAGTAAAGAAATAAGCAATTTGTTTTAATCTACGTATTTTCCAAGCTGAATTTATAACAATATATTCAATCACAGCTAATATAAAATAAGAGATCTGCGAGAAAGAAAATAAAGGGTTAATTTTAAAATTTTTTTATAGAGACGAGGTCTTGCTATGTTGCCCAGGCTGGTCTTGAACTCCTGAGCTCAAGTAATCTTCCCGCCCCAGCCTCCCAAAGTGCTGAGATCATAGGCATGAGCCACTGTGCCCAGCCCGAAATAAAAGATTTAATAACAGAATAGAAAAATTAACCAACAGCAAATCAACCAAGTGTAACAACTTGATATAAAGTTTTATCCTGAAAAAAATCTCTAATTAGACTGCAAAAAGGAATTTTTTAAAATGTTGCTTATAAGACATCCTTAAATAGAAAATGACACAGATTGATCTCCTCCATAAAAACTGATGCCAAACTCTTAATCAAAACATTAACAAATGTAAAATAGTCTTCCAGCTGAACATTCTTAAAAATAAATGGAAAAAACGTTATGGGTATCAACAACAAAAAGTATCTGATAAAACTCTATAAAACTCTATATAACCATTCCTGATTCTGTAATAGAAATGAGTAGGTGTTTTATTAACATGATTTTTTAAAAAAATCCATATACCTCTAGGTCTTTGTGGCAGACTTACAAATTTTTTTTAAAAATCTATATGCCGCCGGGCTCGGTGGCTCAGCCTGTAATCCCGCGCCTTTGGGAGGCCGAGGTGAGTGGATTGCCTGAGCCCGCGGGTTCGAGACTCGCCTGGGCAGCAAGACCTCATCTCTACAATAAATCAAAAATCAGCCGGGTGTGGTAGCGCACGCCTGTAGTTCCAGCTACTCAGAAAGCTGAGGTGGAAGGATCGCCAGAGCCCAGTGGGTCGAGGCTGCGGTGGCCGGGAGCGGCCACTGCACTCCAGTCTGGGTGACGGAGTGAAACTCTAACTCAAAAAAAAAAAAAAAATCTATATGCCTCTAACCAAAAGCAAGATTCCTGTTTAATGACTAAATACTAGAAGTCCTTGGATAAATAGTAAGGAAGCAAGAAAAGGATGTCTGCCCTCATCACCATTACTCAGCATTGTTCTGGAAATACCAGTTAGTGCAATTACATAAGCATAAAACAAGAATATATATCAGAAAGGAAGTGGCAAAATTAACATTATCTAGTACAATAGGGTTGTATATTTTAAAAAGTTCAAGAGAACCCACCAAAAACTAACAGAAATAGAGTTTGATGGCTAATTATAAAATTTATGTAAAAATCAACAGCTTTCCTATATAACAATTAATAACCAGCTAAAAACCACATTATGAACAAAAATCATAAAATGCCTAGGAATAAGTTTTTTAAAACTTGAAAAGATTTTGTGTGTGTGTGTGTGTGTGTGTGGGTCATATTCTCCCTTTGTGACCCAGGCTGGAGTACAGTAGCACACTCATGGCCATCACAGCCTTGACCTGCTGGGCTCAGACAATCCTTCCACCTCAGCCTTCCAAGTAGCTGAAACTACAGGCATGTGCCACCAAAACCAGCTAATTTTTTGATTTATTGTAGAGATGAGGTCTCACTATGTTGCTCAGGTTGATCTTGAACCCCTGAGCTCAGGCAATCCTCTGCCTCCCAAAGTGCTGGGATTACAGGCGTGAGCCACTGCACCCAGCAAAAAAAACTTGAAGGATTAACAAAGTAAAGTGTGAGATTTTACAAGAGCAAATAAGACTTAAAAGACATGGGAAAAAAAAACAAATGATATCTTGTTTTTGACTAGGAAGACTCAGTAATAGAACAAGAATCCCTGTACTGATCTACAAAAATCAAAAGCAATCATAATTAAAATCTAAGATTTTTTTATCTTGACAAAATGATTCTAAGTTCTTTGGAAGAGCAAACATTGCAGAATAGCTGAGTCATCTGAAAAGAAGAGCAAGAAAGGAAGATTAGCCTTAAAGATGCTAACAGATGCGTGGCCACACCAACTACAACAGTGTAGAATTCCTATAGGAACGGATTAGAGACTTAAAAGACCCCAAAATACATGGCAATTTGTTGTGCACTTAAGATAATCAGAGGAGAAAAGACCAATGTATTTCATAAATGACATTGGGACAAACTATCTGTATTTGAAAAAAATTAAGGTTGCATTCAGAAAAAAAACTCTTGATGACCAAAGATTTAAAATAAAAAACCACAGCTGGGCATGGTGTCTCATACTTATAATCCCAGCACATTGGGAAGTGGAGGCAAGAGGATTGTCTGAGCCTAAGGGTTCGAGGCCAGCCTGGGCAATTTGGCAAGACCTCATCTCTACAATACATTTTTAAAAAGTTAGCTGGGCATGGTGGTGCATGCCTATGGTTCCAGCTACTTGGAAGGCTGAGGCAGAAGGATTGCCTGAGCCCAGCAGGCAGAGGCTGTGGTAGCCATGAGCATGTCACTGTACTTCAGCCTGGGAGACAGTGAGATTCCAACTCAAAATAATTCATTGATTAATTAAAAAATCCCTAAAAAAGTATTAAATTAAAACACGGACATTTTTATAACCTTGAAGTAGAGGAAAACCTTTCTAATCATTGTATTAAAACTCAAGCCATAGAGGGAAATGATTAATAGGACAAAGTAAATAAAACCTGAGACAAAGGCATCTAGAGAAAAATACATACAACAGATGGGACAAAGAGCTAATATCCTTAATGTAGAAATGAACAAAGGATATAAATAGAAAACATATAATAATCAATAAACCAAAAATACTCAAGCTTATCAATATTCTTTAAATGTACATTAAAACAGAAATTCATTAAACCAAATTAGAAAAGATTAATTAACTGGAGTTGGCAAAGAAATACAGGCAGACCCAAATATGGCTGGAAGGAGTATACATTGGCACAAACTTTTTGGAGAGTCTGGCAGTCTCTATTAAAGTAACAGTGCTAAAAAGAACACATTTATCATTCAAAAAGAAAAATATGGGAGCCTCTGAACTCATTCTGGTTTGGAGACTCATTCTGCTCAATTCGCAAACAGGGGGAAAAAAGAAAAATACAATGTTAACTCACTCACCAATCTTAGAAGGAAAAAGAGTTTCATCATCAAGCTGATCCTGGACCCAAGTCATCAAATAGTCAATGTATTTTGGTGCAGAACATTTTATTGGCTTTTTAATATTAGTGCCATCTGCCCAATGATATTCATATCTGGAGAAAAATACATTGTACTGATAAAGTTTTCAAAAACATTAACAAAGGTGCAACTTGTAATCAAAGCATTCTGTCAATAGAAGCTATATGTAACTTTAATTAATTAATCTAAAGATTACCAAAAGTTCGCTATAAAATTATTCTGAAATATAACTAGTTATAATTGGAAGAGAAAAGGGAGATAATGAGGCAGTGGGCAGTGCCAGCATAGATGTTTTATAAGCACTTTATAAAGACAAAGGAACTGCATTCATGTCTAAAACGGAGGGGGGGTCAAGGACTGGATAAAGTACAGATGGGTCCACTACATTCTGAGACTCTTGGTCATTAAATTATTATCATCAGTGAAGCTAAGATGATAAAACCGTTTCACGGACCAAGTACAGTAGTTCACGCCTATAATCCCAGCACTTTGCAAGACGGAGGTGAGAGGACTGCCTGAGCCCACACATTCAAGACCAGCCCAGGCAACTTGGAGAAACCTCATCTCTACAATAAATCAAAAAATTAGTTGGGCATGGTGGTATGTGCCTGTAGTTCCAGCTACTTGGGAAGCTAAGAAAGAAGGATCACTTGAGCCCAGCAGGTCGAGGCTGCAGTGGCCAGGAGCGGCCACTGCACTCCAGTCTGGACGACCGAGTGAGACTCCAACTCAAAAAATAAATAAATAAAAATAAAAGGCCAACTAAAAAACTTTTCCAAGAAACTTATCTACAAGTTAGAAGTGGGAACCATAAAGCCAGGTGCGACACTTCACACCTGTGATTCCAGCACTTTGGGAGATGGAGGCGAGAGGACTGTCTAAGTCCAGGGGTTCAAGACCAGCCTGGGCAATTTGGCGAGAGCTCATCTCTATGATAGATCAAAAAATTAGCTGGGCATGGTGGCGAGCACCTACAGTTCCCTATAGTGAGACTCCGGACATTCAGACTTGCAATATAAATTACTTTTATATGCAATATAAAAGTCAAAACACTGAGTACCTACATAACAAGGTACTTAATAAATAACAAAAAGCTTACAGGTGAGTATACAAGAACTAACAAAAGGGAATCACCTTTGCACAAGCAAACATAATAAAAACAAGTCTTTGTATTATAATTATATTATGTTATGTTATGTTATATTATATTATACCATATTATATTATGTTATATTATTTATCTATTTATTTGAGTCAGAGTCTCACTCTGTCACCCAGGCTGGAGTGCAGGGGCACTCATGGCCACCGCAGCCTCGACCTCCTGGGCTCATATGATCCTTCTGCCTCAACCTTCCAAGTAGCTAGAACTATAAGCATGCACCACTACACCAAGCTAATTTTTTAATTTATTGTAGACATGAAGTCTCGCCATGTTGCCAAGGTTGGTCTCGAACCTGTGGGCTCAGGCAACCTTCTCGCCTCCACTATTATATAATTTATATCAATTAGTGATAGTAATCCAAACACCTATATAATAGGTAGTATATATACCTCGGACCTGCAGACATGACTGGACAGCTTGCTTCAGTGCAGAATTCTGTAATAGTTCCATATAACATGTTGATCTGGTTGAAGAAATCCACAGCTGCAGAGATAACAGCAGAATTGTGTTTAAATGTCTGTGAGAATACAACAAAATGTCAGGTCTCTCAGTTGAAGGAAAAAAGACAATGCACCTAAGTTCTTGGCTAAACCCTTAGAAGATTTTATAATCCAATGATACTGTAAATTCTAAGTTGTTACACCCGAAAACAGTTAACTTTCAATATACTAAGCTTCTAACGAGCATGTAACAACAGGAAAATAAAATACTGGAGATAATTCTAACTTAATGATGACTATTACACCATTAGGATATACAATATGATTACATCCAAGGGAATGAAAAATCCATAGCTTCTTATAAATCTGGACCAGATAATACCATTTGTGTTAGAAAAGAAAAAAGAGTGTGTGGAATACACTGTGAGGAAGAAGGTGTATCAGCTTTATCAGTGGGCATTTAAAAAAATCTAATTCGACCAGTCTTGGTGGCTCAGGCCTATAATACCAGCACTGTGGGAGGTGGAGGTGAGAGGATTGCCTGAGCCCAGGGGTTTGAGATCAACCTGGACAACTTGGCAACACCTAGTTTCTATAATAAATCAAAAACAAAAATTAGCTGGGTGTGATGGTGAGCACCTGTAGTTCCAGCTACTTAGAAGGCTGAGGCAGAAGGATCGCCTGACCTCAGCAGGTCAAGGTTGTGGTGGCCTTGAGTATGCCACTGCAATCTAGCCTGGGTGACAGAGTGAACTAAAACTAAAAAAAAAAAAAAACTCCAAAAAACTAATTAATCATAAACATTTGAGGACTATGGCATATTGAGCCTAAAAGACTTCAGATAAAATTCCTTGCCCTGGAGTCTCCAACTAACAAAATCAAAAGGATGAATAAGATATAAGAAAATAGGATCCAAAGGACAACAGTAAGTACTACAAAAGTTCAGAGAAAAGGTAAAATCATAAGGAGTTGAGTGTAGTCACAGAATACTTCCTTAGGGATCTTCAGCTAGATCTGGAAAAACGTTGAAGAGGGTGAGTGATAAACTTAACTAAGTGAAGTTTAGTTTATGCAAAGAGAACCACATAAGTTTTGGAAAGTTTTCATAAGTTTTGGAAAGTTTTAAAAATTGTTTTAGTCCCTAAAGGAGTACCTAAAAATCAACTAGGGCTTTTCCAGGTTTCTTAAAAAACAAACAGATAAAAAAATTTCATCTCGCCAAAAGGAATTTTATACAAAACTTATAAGCCTTCCTCTTAATAAGTCATATTTCTAAGAAAGTAACACTTGGGAACTCAATAGTCATTCAAAAGAAAGTATGTCTAGATGGTAGTTGGCTTGATTTGAATAGCTGTTCTCAAAATGTGGTATAGGAATTTCCTATTTTAGAGGGGATATATGAGGAATTTTTTTTTTTCCTAGTCAGGATCTCACTGTCACCCAGGCTGGAGCATAGTGGCAGGATCACAGCTCACCACAGCCTCTACTTCCTGGGCTCAGGTGATCCTTCTGCCTCAGCCCCCTGAGCTGCTGGGATTACAAATGCACACCACCAGGCCCAGCTAATTTTTTGTACAGACCAGGTTTGTCTATGTTGCCTAGGTCCCTATTTTATTAATTTGTGTCTCCTGCTCCTAAATGTCTTTACCCTTTCTTACATAAAACATGCTAGACAGTTCTCCACCTTGTTTTTTTCTCAATATCAATATGAGCAATATAAATATGGCTTTTTAATGCGTTAAGAAAAACAAATTGTTAAAAAATGTAGTTATTAAAAAACTTACATATGTAGCTTAAAATTACATATGTAGCTTACGTTATCTTTTCCCCCCCCAGAGACAGGGTCTCACTCTGTCATCTAACGTGGAGTAGAGCGGCAGCCTCAACCTCCTGGGCTTAAGCAACTCTCCCACTTCAGCTACTCTCCCATTTCAGCTGCCCGAGTAGCCAGGATTACAGGTACATAACATAAAGTCTGGCTAATATTTTTATTTTTTATTTTTGTAGAGATGAGGCCTCACTATGTTGCCCAGACTTTTCATTGTATTTCTACCAGAAAGCACTATCAGAGCAATGATTATCAACAACTGGTTAATACCACATCAAAAGAAAACTAGGCCAAGCAGGGTAGCTCACATCTGTAATCCCAGCCCTTAGGGAGGTAGAGGCAAGAGGACTGCCTGAGTCCAGGGTTTCAAGACCAGCCTGGGCAACTTGGTGAGACCTCATCTCTACAATAAATCAAAAAATTTGCTGGGCGTGGTGGTGCATACCTATAGTTCCAGCTACTTGGAAGGCTGAGGTGGAAGAACTGCCTGAGCCCAGCAGGTTGAGGCTATGGTGGCCCTGAGCATGCCACTGTACTTCAGCTTGGGCAATGGAGTGAGACTCCAACTCAAAGAAAAAAAAAAAGAAAACCAGATCCAGTCAAAATGCTAGTAAGTTATTTTGTGGTTACTGCCAAACTGGATCTAATGTTTACACAGAGAAGCAAAAGATCCAGAGTAGCCAACACAATACTGAAAGAGAAGAAAGAACAAAGTTTATAGGGCTGACACTACCAACTTCAAGAAGTTTACTATAAAAGAGAAACAGCTCACTGGAACAGAATAGAGAGCCTAGAAATAGGCCTACATAAATACACTCAACTCTAGTCTAGGCAACATAGTGAGACCTCATCTCTACAAGAAATTTCTTTAAAAATTAGCTGGGCGTGGTGGCATCTCTAATTCCAGCCACTCAGGAGGTTGAAGCAGAAAGATCCTCTGAGCCTAGGAGGTGGAGGCTGCAGTAAGCCGTGACTGTATCACTGCGCTATAGCCTGGGCGAGAGTGAGACCCTGACTCAAAACAAACAAACAAATAAATAAAACAAATAAAAAAAGTAAGGCAATACAATGGAGCATAGACAGTCTTTTCAACAAATAGTGCTGGAACAACCAGACATCCAAAAAAGTTCATGAATATAAGCCTTACACTCTTCACAAAGATGAACTCAAAATGGATCACAGTCCTAAATGTAAAATGCTGAAGTATAAAATTCCTAGAAGACACAGGAGAAACACAGGAAAAAATCTAAAAGACCTTAGGTATGGCAACAACTTTTTACATACAGCATCAAAGGCATAATTCATGAAAGAAAGCATTGATAAGCTGTACTTCATTAAAATTTTTTAAAACTCTGCAAAAGACACTATCAAAAGAATAAAAAGGTAAGCCACGGGCTGGGAGAAAATATTTGCAAAAGACATATTTGATAAAGAACCGTTATCCAAAATATACAAAGAATTTAAGAACTCAACAATAAGAAAACAACTCAATTAAAAAACAAGCACAAGCCGGGCTCGGTGGCTCAGCCTGTAATCCCACGCCTTTGGGAGGCTGAGGTGAGTGGATTGCCTGAGCCCGCTGGTTCAAGACCCGCCTGAGCAGCGAGACCTCATCTCTACAATAAATCAAAAAATCAGCCGGGCATGGTAGCGCACGCCTGTAATTCCAGCTACTTGGAAGGCTGAGGCGGAAGGATTGCCAGAGCCCAGCAAGTCAAGGCTGTGGTGGCCGGAAGCGGCCACTGCACTCCAGTCTGGACGACAGAGTGAGACTCCAACGCAAAAAAAAAACCAAAACAACAACAAAAAAAAAAACAGGCACAAGCCGGGTGCGGTGGCTTACGCCTATAATCCCAGCACTTTGGGAGGCCAAGGCGACAGGACGACCTGAGCCCACAGGTTCAAGACCAGCCTGGGCAACTTGGCGAGACCTCAACTCTACAATAAATCAAAAAATTAGCCAGGTATGGTGACACACGCCTGTAGTTTCAGCTACTTGAAAGGCTGAGGTAGAAGGATTGCCTGAACCCAGCAGGTCGAGGCTGCTGTGGCTGTGAGCGACCACTGCACTCCAGCCTGGGTGACAGAATGAGACTTAAAAAAAACAGGCACAGATACCTCAACATATACACATGGCAAACAAGCATATGAAGAGACACCCTGTGTCATATGCAAAGTAAAACAATGAGATACCATCACATACTTTGTAAAATGGCCAAAAATCAGATCAGTGACAGCACCAAATGATGGTGAGGATGTGGAGCAACAGAAACTCTCACTCGTTGCTGGAAAGAATGCAAAATGGTACAGCCAATTTGAAAGACAATTTGGTGGTTTCTTAAAAAATTAAACATGCTCTTATCATATAATCCAGCAACTTTGCTCCCTGGAGTTTATCCATAGGAGCTGAAAACATATGTCCATACAAAAACCTGTGCACATATGTTTACATCAGCTTTATTCAAAATTGCCAAAACTTCGGAACAACCAATTATTCTTCAGTAGATGAATAAATAAACCATGATACATCCAGAAAATAGAATATCCCAAAACTAAAAATAAATGAGCTATCAGGTCATGAAAAGACTGAAGAAAACTTAAATGCATATTACTAAGTAAAATAAGCCAGTCTAAAAGGGTACATACTATATGATTTAAACTACAGACATTCTGGAAAGACAAAACTAGAAACAATTTAAAAAAAAAAGTCAGTGGCTGCTAGAGGTTAGTGGGAAGAGGAGATGAACAGGTAGAACACAGAGGATTCTTTTTTTTTTTTGAAGCACAATTTATTGAGAGGACAGAAAAGCTCCCACAGTGGGAGGGGACCCAAAGGGGCTGCCCGCACAGAGGATTCTTAGGGCAAGCAGTGAAACTACTCTATGATGATACCATAATGGTGGATACATGTTACTAGTGTCCGAACCCACAGAATGTACAACAATGAGAATAAATTCTAATATAAACTATGGATTTTGGGTGACTTTAAAAAAAAAAGAGGCAACCTCTTTGGGTCCCCTCCCACTGTAGGAGCTTTTCTGTCCTCTCAATAAATCCTGCTTTCAAAAAAAAAAAAAGACAACTAGACACTATAGAAAAACATACCACCATCTATTAAGATATCTTACAAACACATTTGCTCTAGGTCTGCACTAACAAGCCACATACGGCTATTTACATTAAAATTAAGTCAAATTTAATTTAATTTAAAGTTCTGCTCTTCAGTCACACTAAATGTGTTTCAAGTGCTAAATGGCTACAATAAGCGTATAGGGGGCCTCTTTTTCATGGCGCTTGGGAGCCCGTCAGCTACTTCAAATGTAGCTGAATATCTCCTTCCCGGCCACTGGCTGCCAGAAACTCATCGAAGTGGATAATGAATGCAAGCTCAGTAGCTTCTACAAGAAGCGCATGGCACAGAAGTTGCTGTGAACTCCCTGGGTGATGAATGGAAGGGTTACATGGTCCGAATCAGTGGCGGAAATGATAAACAAGGTTTCCCCATGAAGGAGGGTGTCTTGACCCATGGCTGCGTCTGCCTGCTGCTGAGTAAGGGGCATTCCTGTTACAGACCAAGGCGAACTGGAAAAAGAAAGCGCAAATCTGTCTGGGCTTGTATTGTGGACACCAACCTGAGAGTTCTCAACTTGGTTATTGTAAAAAAAAAAAAAAAAAAAGGTGAGAAGGATATTCCTGGGCTGACTGACTTGGGTACCTCGTCGACTGGAGCCCAAAAGGGCTAGCAGGATCTGCAAACGCTTCAGTCTCTCTAAAGAAGATGATATCCACCAGTATGTTGTAAGAAAGCCCCTAAACAAAGAAGGTAAGAAACCTAGGACCAAAACACCCAAGATTCAGCAACTTGTCACTCCACGTGTCCTGAACACAAACGCTGGCGTATTGCTCTGAAGAAACAGCGTACTAAGAAAAATAAGGAAGAGGTCGCAGAATATGCTAAACTTTTGACCAAGAGAATGAAGGAGGCCAAAGAAAAACGACAGGAACAGATTGCCAAGAGGCACAGACTGTCCTCTCTGTGAGCTTCTACTTCCAAGTCTGATTCTAGTCAAAAATAAGATTTTTTTGAGTAACAAATAGATAAGATCAGAACCTCAAAAAAAGCGAGTATAGGACACTTTTCATCATTGCAGAAAGTTCTACTGGACAGAAATGATCTAGATATAACACAGAGCATGATAATAAACACCGAGGGATACAATCAGCAAAATTCATACTATGGAAAACCATCTGGTTTCTTCCACAACAACAAAAAAATAGCAAGGAAAAACTGCAGTGAGGGGAAACCTGTAGATTACGAGAATCAAGGAACACACATAGGCCATGCTGGATTCTGATTTAATCTGGCATAAATTAAAAAAAAGAAAAGAAAGATTTATAAGATAGTGAGGGAAAATGTGAACACTGACTGAATATTTGATAAGTTTAAAGGATAATAGTATCTTTTCTTTTTTTTGAGTTGGAGTCTCACTCTGTCGCCCAGGCTGGAGTGCAGTGGCATGCTCAAGGCCATCTCAGCACTGACCTGCCGGGATCTGGCGATCCTTCTGCCTCAGTCTTCCTAGTAGCCGGAACTACAGGCGCACACTACCATGCCTGGCTAATTTTTTGATATATTGTAGAGAAGAGGTCTCGCCAAGTTGCCCAGGCTGGTCTGGAACCGCTGAGCTCAGGCAATTCTCTCGCCTCGGCCTCCCAAAGTGCTGGGATTACAGGCTTGAGCCACCGCACCCAACCTGCTTTTTATTTTTATTTTTTTGAGACTAGATCTCATTCTGTTGCCCAGGCTGGAGTACAGCAGTGCAATCATAGCTCACTGTATGGGCTCAAGCAATTCTCCCATCTTAGCCTCTAGAGTAGCTAGGTCTATAGGCACACCATCACACCCAGCTAATATTTTCTCTACTTTTACAAGTTTGAAATTTTCCTTTAAAAAGTTTTAAATGGGCCGGGTACAGTGGCTCATGCCTATAATCCTAGCACTTTGGGAGACTGAGACAGAAGGATCACTTGAGTCTAGGAGTTCAACATAATAAGAGCTCATCTCTACAAAAAAATAATAAAATAAAAAATAAAGTTAGCAGGGTGTGAAGATGTTTATCTGTAGTCCCAGTTGCTCAGAAGGTTGAAATGGAAGGATTGCCTGAGCCCAGAAGGCCAAGACTGAGGTGAACTGTGATCTTGCCACTGCACTCTAGCCGGGGTGCCAGAGTAATACTCTGACTCAAAACGAAAAGTTTAAAAAATTCCTGAACATCAGATTGGAGTATAAGTGGATGTATGGCAAGTCGCTGTACCATGAGATCATGGAAGTCACTTCAGGGGATTACTGGAAGATTCTGCTAAAGATCTGTGGTGGCAATGACTGAACGATGACTGGTGACTCACGTCTGTCCACCTGCTGGCAGCAGCGATGCCAGGAAGAGGTCAAAAGAATGTCTGCTTCTAGAAAATCCACAAATAGACCCCAAGGTGCACTGTCCTAGAGCCTTGGCCCCATCCTCCAACCCTCCTGACCGATGTGTTATTCTGAAGGACCTGGGTGGGTCTAAAACTCTCTCAGGATACCTTTTCCACCCCACCTCTCATGGCCTCTTGCTGCTAAAGTAGATGTTTTATTTCCTGGCTCATTCAGTCCTTTCCCTTTGCTTGTGGCTAAGACTCTGTTTCATTTTATATTTTTACCTGGAGGCATATTTTTCTTACAGTTATTACCAGACAGATGTGTACAAGTCTGTTTCCTGCATACACATTTCTGGTGAGGGTAATTGGGTGGGTAGAATGCCATGTCCTCACTGAGGAGAAAAAAGAAGGACCTCTAAGGGTTATCTTTGCATCTGGAGAGAATGTGTCATGAGCTTTGTTATTGCCAACCTCACTCCTTTTTAGAGGGGGGAAAAAAAAGACCGGAAAGTCATCTGTTCCATCTTCCATGCAAAGCCAGGAGAACAAAGCCAGTTCCCTGCCAGTGTCAGGGCTTCTGGTAATTTGGAATGTGCCTTAAACCTGCATGTTTGTAGCCAAAACCTGTTTTCAAACTCAAAGTCAGCCGGCTCTGGAAAAAAAAAAAAAATTCCTGGAACAGGCCAGGCGCAATGGCTCAGCCTATAATCCCAGCGTTTTGGGAGGCTGAGGCGAGAGGATTGCCTGAGCCCACAGGTTCATGACCAACCTGGGCAACATGGTGAGACTTCATCTCTACAATAAATCACAAAAACTAGCCGGGCATGGTGGCGTGTGCCTGTAGTTCCAGCTACTTGGAAGGCTGAGGCGGAAGGACTGCCTGAGCCCAACAGTTTGAGGCTGCACTGGCCGTGAGTGTGCCACTGCACTCCACTCTGGGCGACAGAGTGAGACACCAACTCAAAACAAAAAAATTACTGGAACATCTGAAATTCCTAATTTAAACTTTATCACCCAGAAACTATCTCATCTCAGAAATGAGAAACTCTCGCTTTCAAATCTCTAGCCTTAGCATGTTGCTCCATGTCATGACCTCATTCGCTTAAACTCCAAAGATTAAAACTCAAAGCCCATAGATTCCTCCATTTCCTCCCAATCTCTGACTGCAATGGATTTTCCTGTACATGCAGGTCAATGAGTGCTGCTGAGGGGAGGCAAAACTGTGTGGATGGATTTCACTACCAAGCCATGGTCCACCACAGGCAGAATCTTTGCATTTACCAATCTTTTATTTGACCACACTCAGCTCTTCATACTATTCTCATGAGAAATTACCCCAAAGCACTCATGATTTATCCTCAGGTCTGTCTATTCAACCAAACAACTGCCACCAAGTACTCTGAAAGGAGCAACACAGTTTTGGATATATCTGTACTTATGTGTTTCTTTACAGTCTGTCCTAGTACAACATGTATTATCTGTAAAAGAAAATTCATTAAGAAAAAGATCTGGGCAAAACCCTTCTATAAACCAGCAAAGTGGAACATTATTTTGAAACTTACTGTTAACAGCAATCCATTCATTGAGGTCTTCTCCCTCTGGCAACATGACAGCTTGTCTCAGATTCCCACTTCCTAGAGTTGCTTCTGCATGTTTTAAGAGTTCATACTGATGAGATCCTTCAGGGATATTCTTCTTTGGTTTGAATGTTTTAGAAGAGCGGCTGCTGCTGTTAGGTTAAAAGTAAAAGAATATTAAATTTTTTTTTTTTTTTGAGTCAGTTTCAAAACCAGGCTAGGTTCAGGTGATCCTTGCACCTCAGTCTTCCAAGCAACTGGAACTACAGGTGCACGCCACCATGCTTGGCTAATTTTTTGATTTATTGTAGAAACAGGGGCTGCCATGTTACCCAGGCTGGTCAAAACCCATGGGTTAGGTAATCCTCTCACCTCAGTCTCCCAAAGTGCTGGGATTATAGGCGTGAGCCACCACACCTGGCTAAAAGCATATAAATTTTTAGGACCAGAAGCAAAATGACATAATTTTAGGTTTGTAAAGTGCTCTATGCAATAAAATAAAAAATACTCCCTGAAAAATACCAGGACAGAAAGGAGATATAATGATCACAGTAAAAAAAATGTTTTATGTATTTTTCTGCACATAAAAGCAGAATTAACAGCACAATTCACAAATAAGGCAATTTTACTATGCCCCGTGAAGACATCTGTTACAGCAGGTACTTTCACCAAAGAAAAAACCGTGGATTTCAGTCTTTGATCTGATACTAACTCCATGATTACCTAAGAAACCCAAACCTTTTGGTCTCAATTTCTACCTACACAAAACGGAGCAGGTAAGTAAATTCAAAAATCCCATTTTCTGTATCAAAATATTTGGGATGCCAACACATCAAAGCAAACCATGCTAAAAGAAACAATAGCATTTTGAAGTTTTTAGCAGGGAAACAAACGAGACAGACACAGCTGGTTATTGAGGAAAAAATAAGCTTTTATTCCTATAGCACACCATTCATAAGGTCTTCCTAACATGACACAAAACCTAGAAACCTTAAAGAAAAATGGACTGATTTCAAAACAGACCAGTTAAAACTCCCATAACAGAACAAAGAGACAAGTAACAAAAAAATTGTTGCAACAAGTATCACAAAACATTAACTAGATAATAAAGGACTTCTATGGCTCATTAGACTACAAGGAACACTTTAGAAAAATGAGCTAAGTATTTTTCTATGAATAGGCAATCTGGAAGGAGGAGTACAATGACCAATGAGCCTATGAAAAATGGTTCAATTAAAGTAAGATTTGGGCCGGGCTCAGTGGTTCAGCCTGTAATCGCAGCACTTTGGGAGGCCAAGGCGAGTGGATTGTCTGAGCCCGCGAGTTCAAGACCCACCTGGGCAACTTGGTGAGACCTCGTCTCTACAATAAGTGAAAAATAAGCTGGGCGTGGTAGTGCATGCCTGTAGTTCCAGCTACTTGGAAGGCTGAGGTGGAAGAAGTGATGGAGCCCAGCAGGTCAAGGCTGCAGTGGCCGGAAGTGTGCCACTGCACTCTAGTCTGGGCGATAGAGTGAGACTCCAACTCAAAAATAAGATAAAATAAAATAAAGTAAGATTTGTTTTTCTGTGAGTGTCAAAAGTTAAAGTAGGGTCCAGCTCAGTGGCTCATGCCTGTAATTCAGCACTTTGGAAAGACACAGCAAGAAGAATGCCTGAGCCCAGGGGTTCAAGACTAGCCTGGGCAACTTGGCAAGACCTTGTTATTACAATAAATCAAAAAATTAGCCAGGCGTGGTGGTGAGTGCCTGCAGTTTCAGCTACTTGGAAGGCTGAGGTGGAAGGATCGCCTGAGCCCAGCAGGTCGAGGCTGTGGTGGCTATGAGTGTGCCACTGCACTCCAGCCTGGGGACAGAGTGAGACCCCGACTCAAAAAACAAAAAGAAATGCAAATCAAATTGAGAAGATACCACTCCACACCCACTTAGGATAGCTATGATGAAAAAGACAGATAATTAACAAGGGCTATCTAGATCATGGAAAAATAGGAACCCACATACAGTGCTGATGGGAACCTAAAATGCTCAGAAAGTCTGGCAGTTCCTCAAAAGGCTAAAGGTAACACAGTTGCCAGATAAACCAGCAATCCTGCTCCCACGTACATATCCAAGAGATATGACTACATACATCCACACAAAAACCTGTATACAAAACCAACAAGTCAAAGTTTTTTTGGAGGGGCAGGATACTACACCCTTAAGAAAATAACCTGTCCCGGCGCAGTGGCTCATGCCTGTAATCCCAGCACTTTGGGAGGCAGAGATGAGAGGATTGCCTCAACTCAGAGATTCCAAACCAGTCTGAACAAGATGGTGAGACCTCGTCTCTACAATAAATAAAAAAATTAGCTGGGCATGGTGGTACGCACCTGTGGTTCCAGCTACTTGGAAGGCTGAGGCAGAAGGATTGCCTGAGCCCAGTAGGTGGAGGCTATGGTGGCCGTTAGTGTACCATTGCACTCCAGCGTGGGTTACAGAGTGAGAACTTTACTCAAAAAAAAAAAAAAAAAAAAAAAAAAACCCAGAAAAGAAAATAACCTAAAGGAGGGAAAATGAGAGGACAAAGATATTTGTAGTAGTGTTATTTTATAGTAGCAAAATACTGGTTTCTCACAATAAAGTGGGTAAAGTCTGGTTATGAAACATTGTGTAATTTAATAAAAATATCAAGCATGTGGACTATGTCCATAATTAAAATTGGATAATTATTCAGTCCTGTAACTCATATTTAAGTGACCTACAAGGTAGAGAACGCCACCTGAAAAAATAATATGCCAGAACAAAGCTTCTCAAATCTTAACGTGCATAAGAATCATCAGAGAAATTATAAAGATGTCCATCTAGGCCTCACCTGAGCCCAGGAGTTCTCTCTCAAATGAGATACCACCGAGGACAAGGGAAGTTGGCTAACTTAGACAAAGTCACACAACCAGTAAATGGGTAGAACCAGAAATGAACAGAAAGGCCAGGCGCGGCGGCTCACACCTGTCATCCCAACACTTTAGGAGGCTGAAGCGGAGGCCAAGAGTTCAACAACCTCCCCCTTCCCCACCCACTCCTGTTGTAAAAATCTAAAAAAAATTTTAAAAGCAGAATTGGGCAGAACGGTGTGGCCGCAGGGCCCGCATCTTAACTTCAAGCTCCTAAAACACCCCCGACAATAATAAACCTGGGTACGTGATGTGGCGAAAAGCGAAGTCAGCAAGGACCGGGGGAGGAGGCTCCAGAGACGCAGGAGCCCGCGGCCCCGCCCCCAACTTGTCCCCCCGCCCCCGGGGCGCTCGGGCGGAAAAGTTTGGAGGCGCGGCCGGCCTCGGGCCTTGCTCGTCCCCAGCAGTTTTCTCGCCCCGCTTCCTGTGCCTCCACTTTCCTCGGCTCGGCCCCTCCCGGCCTCCCGTCCCCCCCACGGACGCGAGCGGAGGCAAGGCCAGCGCCGCCCGACCCCAGTCCTGGGCCCGGCCCCGCCGGCCCCTCCCGGCCTCGGCCCTCAGCCCCGGCGCCCCCGGCCCGAGCCCACTCACAAGAGGAAGCTCATCTTCGGTCCTCAAGGGGGAGGGGAGGGGCCGCTGGCCCCCGTCCCGGTCAGGCTGCGGTGCCGGCGAGAGGGAGCCGACGGGCCTCAGCTAGCGGACGCGGAAGCCCGGCCGCCGTTGCTCCGAGCCCGGCTCCGAGCAGCTGAGAGCCGGAGCAGACCGCGGTACCCGCCCAGCCCTCCGCCTCCCCAGCTTCGCGGATCCGAAATGCGGAACGGGCAAAATCTCGCGAGCTAAGGTTTCGCCCCCACCGGCCGAGAGAACAGGACGCACCCCCTTTTGCTCCGCCCCCTCCTAGATCTCAGCCAATCAGCGTTCTCCAGGCTAGGGTGTTTGTTTGTTTGTTTGTTTGTTTTTTGGTTTTTTCCCTTCCTCTCGGGGAGGCGTGGTGAGGACATCAGTTCCGCAGAAGGGAGAGAGGCGATCCTGGTGTTCCTAGCTGGAACTACAGGCGCGCGCCACCACTCCCGGCTAACTTTTTTTTTAATTGTAGGGATGAGGTCTCTTCATGTTGCCCAGGCTGGTCTCGAACCCCTGGATTCAAACAGTCCTCTTACCTCCGCCTCCCAAAGTGCTGGGATTACAGGCGTGAGCCACTGCGCCTGGTCAATAATTTTTAAATTTGCAGGGGTCGGCCAGGCACGGTGGCTCACGCCTGTAATCCCAACACTTTGGGAGGCCAAGGCGTGAGGGATGCTTGAGCCCAAGAGTTCAAGACCAACCTGGGCAACATAGCAAGACCTCGAATACACAGGGGAAAATAAAAAAGCCAGGTGTGGTGGCACGCACCTGTTGTTCTAGGTACTCAGGAGGCTGATGCAGGAGGATCACTTTAGCCCAGGAGTTGGAGGCTGCCATGAGCTGTGACCCAGCCACTGCACTCCAGCCTGGGCAACAGAGTCAGACCATGACTCAAAAAAAAAAAAAGAATTCATTTTCTTTGTATAAAACACTTCAAGGGAAGGGAATGCAGACAATCTCAGAGTGAGAACTGCCTACAATTTTATTTTAATTTTCATTTGAAATACATTCATATAGATAAAATTAACCTTTTAAAAATGCACTTTGGTAGGTCTTTTTTTCTGTATACGTTTCTATAGAGTTGTGCCAACCATCACCACTAATTCTAGAAAGTTTTCATTATCCCAAAAAGAAACCACTAGTTTACTTTCTATTTCAATAGATTTGCCTAATCTGGACATTCCGTATAGACTGTGAATGGAATCATACAATATGTGGTCTCTTGTGACTGACTCCTTTCACTAACAGGTTTTAAGATTTCCCCATATTGCAGCATGCATCAAGACCTCATTCTTTTCTACGGATGAATAATATTCCATTGTGTGAATACCGTGTTTTGCTTATCCATTCATCTGTTTTAGGTTTCCCCTTTTTGTCTAATTAATAATGCTGCATTGAACATGCATGTACAGGTTTTTGTGTGGACAAATTATGCATGAAGGCCAAGTGACAGCCAAACTACAGCATGGTAGAATCTGAAAAGCAAAAGGCAAACTGTAAGGAGACTTGAATCATAGCTCAGCAAATGGTGCCAGATGTCTGTGTAAAAGAATTTGCCCTTTACCTGTTATTTTATTTCATTCGAATATCACCTGTCACATTGTTATGTTCATTTTTATTTTTTAAATTTTTGTAGTTTTGTTGGCATTTAACTTATAGGCGTGGTGGCTCACATCTATAATCCCAGCACTTTGGGAGGCCGAGATAAGAGAATTGCCTGAGCTCACAGGTTCCAGACCAGCCTGGGCAACTTGGTGAGACCTCATCTCTACAATAAATCAAAAATTAGCTGGGCGTGGTAGCACGCGCCTGTAGTTCCAGCTACTTGGAAGGCTGAGGCAGAAGGATCGCCGGAGCCTAGCAGGTTGAGGCTGCGGTGGCCGGGAGCGGCCACTGCACTCCAGTCTGGGTGACAGAGTGAGACTCCAACTGAAAAAATAAATAATAAAATAAAATAAAATATTTGATATAACTGTGTAGAAACTATAAACAAATAATCTATATTATTTAATCATATATTTATTTTTTAAATTTCCAGACAACAATGGAAAAAAAAATTTGTGAAAGCCTTCCTCCTTTTGATGGAATTGCTCTTCAAGTCGGAGAATCACTGAGATTGTGAAGGCCAGCAATTTATTAGGAAAACCTTTCAGGATGGCTAGATTTGATGGAGGGGTGGCTATGAGATTAGGGGAAAATCCTCAATCAATATTTGAGCAGGATATCAACATAGCCCATTTAGAGATCATCAAAGGTAAGATTTCTCAGTGAGAGAGAGAATATGAATGAATTTGCTAATTACTACAGGACAATTTGTTCTCTATCAGATAAGGTCTATACAGAGACTGGAGAAGTTTTATGCTCTTCTCGGCTTAGCCAGCCAGAGAGATCACTGCACACCATCTGGTCTCAGCAGATGCTGAAAGCAGAAGCTAAGCGGCAAATTATCAAGCGGTCACTCCCCAGCCCCCATTCATCACACAGTTCCCCTTTCGAGCTCCCTCGGGCAGGATTTGCAACCCTGCATTTTCATTCTGTGTACGTGCCCATCCCATCATTTGCAAAACTCCAGCTTTACTCTGACAATGTCACCCACCCACGCAGGGCATCTTGCCACTTTGGTGACAGTAAAGTTCTTGCCCCTCCCAGCCAGGTGGGAAAGGCCAGTTTTAACCCATTGGTGAAAAAAAAGTGAAAAAAGACTGAGTAAAGTCAAACTGTCCCTACCCATTATCTCAGGATTCAGGCTGCAGTGGCTCAGGCCTGTAATTCTGGCACTTTAGGAGGCCAAGGTGGGAGGATCACCTGAGACCAGGAGCTTGAGACCAGTCTGGGCAACATTGTAAGACCTAATCTCTACAAAAAATATTTTAAATAATTTTTTTTTTTTTTAGTTGAAGTCTCAGTCTATCACCCGGGTTGAAAAGCAGTGACATACTCACAGCCACTACAGCCTCCACCTGCTGAGCTCAGGTGATCCTTCCACCTCAGCCTTCCAAGTAGCTGGAACTACAGGCGTGTGCCGCCACACTCAGTTAATTTTTTGATTTATTGTAGAGACAAAGTCTCACCAAGTTGCCCAGGCTGGTCTCAAACCTGTGGGTTCAGGCAATCCTCTTGCCTCCGCCTCCCTAAGTGCTGAGATTACATGCATAAGTCACTGAGACTGGCTTTAAAATAAAAATTTTTAAAAAGAAGTCATAGGCAAGTTTCTACTTTGAAAATGTCCAAGCCGGGCTCGGTGGCTCAGTCTGTAATCCCGTGCCTTTGAGCGGCTGAGATGAGTGGATTGCCTGAGCCTGCAGGCTCGAGACGCGCCTGGGCAGGCGAGATCTCATCTCTACAATAAATCAAAAAATTAGCCAGGCGTGGTGGCGCGCACCTGTAGTTCCGGCTACTTGGAAGGCTGAGGTGGAAGGATCACCTGAGCCTAGCAGGTCGAGGCTGCAGTGGCCGGGAGCAGCCACTGCACTCCAGTCTGAGTGGTACAGTGAGACTCCAACTCAAAAAAAACAAAACAAAACGGGTGCAGTGGCTCACACCTGTAATCCCAGCACTTTGGGAGGCCGAGGCCAGAGGATTGCCTGAGTCAGCGGTCTGAGACCAACCTGGGCAACATGGTGAGACCTCGTCTCTACAATAAATAAAAAATTAGCTAGGCGTGGTGGCGCACACCCGTAGTTCCATCTACTTGGAAGGCTGAGGTGGAAGGAATGCTGGAGCCCAGCAGGTGGAGGCTGCGGTGGCCGAGAGAGTGCCACTGCACTCCAGTCTGGGTGACAGAGTGAGATTCCTGCTCAAAAAAAAAAAAAGAGGCATTAAGCGAATATGGTAGGAAAGAACTAAGAGAGACTGAGAGACTGAAGAGTCTTAGATGTCATTAAGTCTAGTTACCAGAAGATAAGCTAGCCAAATGCAGAGAGAGAGAGTGGGAGCACACGCCCATGTGCAAAGGTTTTGAAGCAAGTAGGAGTTTGCTATGACCAAGGAACTGAAACAGAGGCCAGTGTGATGAGAATGTGGTAGACGAGGGGGAAAGTGTAGGGAAATGAAACCAGTCACCAAGAATCTTGCTTCTTATGCAAAGCAATGTGGCCAGTCATTGAAAGGTTTTCAGGAGACGCATGACACCGTCTATCCATTTTTTTTTTTTTTTT